AGACGAACAGCGTCTAGGTTAGTGATGCGTATGGCCGCAGCCGCAGACACGGACTCACGTCTCAGATGATAGCACTCTTCACAGTCACCAGTGTGAGAATCTCGAACACAAAAAGATAAACGCGGATGCAATATACGCTGGAGATATTCACAATTTTTACTTTCCCCACTGCTAACAGAGCAGCAGTTCAGTAGAAACATTTGCCCTGCCCGGACACGCATCAACTGTTTTTACACCAATAACCGAAAGTGGCAGGAGCAATCAGGGAATGGCTCTAGACTCCTGCAGTCACGTCCTGTTGCTCTTCCATATCCAAAACGTTCCACATGCCCCAAACCTTAACAATACATTCACGTCCTTTCATTATTGCCTCTGCCACGTGGAGCGGTGTCATCGCGCATAATCTAAACCAACAACATTACTTCTGATGATTGAAGTATCTCTCACAATGGAAACCATTTATTTCATTTTCATCTTCATATAACCCTTCGTCATTCGCTTAATCGCATTATCAGCCATTTCGAACGTTTGTGAAAGGTCAGTTATCGTAAATAACAGCAACAGTAATTGTGTTAAAAGGAAACACCGTGACAGGTGCTGCTATCTATTTGTGGGGAACAGAGACGATGATGAAGTCGCAGCCACACGCCTTAATATGATTAGCAGATAATAATCTGGACCGATATTGTCCCCAGAGGGTCCTCTGCTGTAGCGGGGGAGGGGGGTTTGTGAAGGGGAAACCGTGATGTTATCTGTGCCACTTGGTACACCCGCTGGTTATTGTGTCCTGGCCACACACTTCAAATTGTTAGGCCCGCTATGACTCACGTTTACTAGGAGTTAGTAAGAAGAGTACTTTATTATCTTCTGGGACAAAACGCCGTACAGTCAGGTGGATGTTTCGGACTAATGAATTGCCTCCATTTTCAGGACTGTATAGTAAACCAAGTTCTCCTGCTTGCCGTCTCATTCTTGCTGCTTTCTAAGTGGTTTATTGCTTAGCCTACTCTTCGACCCTGAAGATGGAGGCGCCATGGACGCTGTAGCCCAGAAGATACAGTTCTTCATAATCACCTCTGTTAGAACCACAAACGAAACACAGCTTTACGAGGTTTCGCAGATGGAACGCCAGAAATAAGATATTCGAATCGGCCATGAGTCTCAGAACAGGCTCCAGAGGCCTAAATCTTGACATTACTCATGGTGCTGAACTCTTCTTGAGGAGTCGCAAATTCTGCAGCTACTCAAGAATTTCCCAGAATTTTATGGAACCCGAAGGTTCATTACTATGTTCACAAGAGCCCTCCACTGATTCCTATCCTAAGCCAGATCAGGCCAATCCATATTATCCCATCTTATGTCTCTCTAAGATCCATTTCAATATTGTACAACCACCTACATCTTGGTCGTCCCATTGGTCTCTTACCTTGTAGCTTTCCCACCAATATCCTATATGCATTCCTCTTCCCCCATTCGTGCTACATGCCCTTCCCATCTCATTTCCCTAGACTTGATCATTCTAATTAATTAATCTTGGAGAAGAGTACAAGTTATGAAGCTCCTCAAAATCTTGACATTACAGAAGAATAGGAAGATATTCTGTAGAAATATTATGTTACCCACAAATTGTGTGTCAATTTGTTAAGGATGTGGTGCTCGCCCTGAAGAAATATCTTGAATTAGATTCAAGGTAACTGTTATTTTTTCTTTTATTTCTAGAGGGGTGGGACTAATTCCCTTGTACTGCGGCCAATTCTGGCCTATTGTACCAGCCCAAGATGATAGGTGAAGGTGATTGTGGAGCAATTGGTGGAATGGAGATTGGCAGGGGAAACATAAGTACTCGGAGAAAACCTGCCCCAGCTCCACGTTGTCCACCATAAATCCCACTTGACCAGACCCCGGGGTCAAACCCTGGACATCGCGATGGGAAGCCAGCGACTAACCGCTTGAGCTATGGCACGGCCCTTAAAGTAACTGCTATATGAAGTTTCTTTCGTGTGACACATTCTCTGAGCTTAACAGTACCGATTAGTAAACACAACAGCAGAGTTGATGTGTCGACCCAGCGGCGGTGACTGATTTGCTCGCTGACGGATATGTCAGTTAATTTGTTTATTGTGAGCTTCTCTTTTTAAACTCTTCCAGCTGTACAGTTAGAGAGTTAATGCCCGCTTATGGCATCCCTGCCACTTCCTGGCTTGAAACACGTACACGTGTTGCGTGTTTGTTGTGGAGCCACACACGTGTGCTTTCTCCCACATAAGAGCCCTAAGTTACAAGTTTCACCTTAAAGATATATTTTGATTAAACGCAATATTCTTGGGTTCCAGAGCGTGCAATGTAAATTTCAAAATTGTACATGCAGTTACGTCCATGATCTTTCCCTTCTGAATATTTTCCGGCTCTTTGTTAACTTATAAACTTAATATTGATAACGTCATGAAATAAAAAGATAAAGCTATCCCTGTAACATGTCATGAAGACCCATAGGGTTGTGAGACGTCGAGGCTCCCACATTATCTAGACAATCGGCTCACAGATGGCGGTGAGGTTGTCAGCCTTAATCGCCGGCAGCCCTTTACCCCCAAGAAGATTCCTGGTACTCATTTTTGTTACAGGCTGAGTCGACCCCAGGGTCATAGTGCTGCTGGAAAGATTAGGTCAATTAAAAGAAATACCTCATAGGGACTCGAACCCTGACTTTCCGGCTTGTAGCACAGTGCCTCAACCAACTACGCTACTGCGTATCCCCGTCATGAAATAAGACATAAATAAATAAGTAAATATAAATAGAACCTAAACGTGTTTTTTCTCTGTATTTATATCCGTAACGTTTATCAAGTTTTTTAGTCTTGACGGAACTCTGAAGTAGCTGCTACTGAAATCCAGCGGACACAAATTTCTCTTGCGCTCTTAACAAAAAGCTACGAAAGTCTGTCCTTCTGTTCGCATCCAGCAGTTCAATAACCACCGAAAAGTTTATCCCAAATTTTCAGTTAAGTGGGGTTTACGGAAATGTATTGAAACAGAACCAGTTTCGGGTAGAAACAGTCCGGAGTAACCGACTCTTTACACGAAGTTTAACGGCGTTTCTGTCGGCTTCTCCTTTGGAACACCATAGATACTTATCGGAAGGAAACATATTTCAAACAAAAACAAAACTAAACAAAAAACTCCGTGGCTTTTACCGCAAGCGAACTATACCGACCGAGTGACCGCCGCTTGTCGGCGAAGTTAGTGCCAACTTTTGTGGATAGAGGGTGTCACGTGGTCAGCGCAACGGATTCCCATGGCCGTTAATCTCGGTTTTCTAGACCGGAGTCGCTAGTTTTCCAATCAAGTAGCCCCTCAGTTATCCTCATGAGGCTGAGTGGACCCCGTTCCAGACCCACTACTTCTCAGAATCGAACCCGGGACATGTGGACCTGTAGCCAGTATCTCTAACCACTAGACAACAGTACAAAATGGAAAAATAAGGCACTCATATTCAGTACAACATATCTGTAACCCCTAACATTTTTCGAGGAAATCAACTGAACAACGGGCAGCGCATGTGTCAGAATTACGATGCGTATATATTTCCTGAACTGTTAATTATCCGTTTCTCGCGACTCAGGCTTGGCCGTCGTGTCTTGGTCTCAGTCAGAGATTCTGTGACAATTTGGGGTTGAAAATTGTCTTTATTTTTACCTACCGTGCATGCTATATGTCCGTATTTTCTTCATCTGTATTTCAGCGCATTAACATCAGCAGCTACGGAATATAGACCATAGAATGGTAAAGTTGTCTCTCTACTTAATTAAATTAAGCACTACGCCATGAAGGCGTATGGGGGAGTGGAATTATTTCTCCATCATTCTTGACCTCGACATTAGGTGGAGATGAGTGATCACCTTCATGCCCCGGCCGCCTTAGTCCCGGGGAAAGAGCCGCCGGTAGGAGGCTTGGTTGGCTCAAGAGCTGGTCTGAACGCTGTGGAGAAAAGAAAAATCTCTTGCCCCTGCCGGGAATCAAACCCGATTCGTCCAGCCCGTAGCACGTCTCTGTACCGACTGAGCTCTCCAGGCTCCTGTATCAAACCATGGAATGGCTACAGGAAAACAACTCGACTGCATTCATTTAATAAACATCAGAGATGTTAATGACTTTGGATGTTTGCCCGATAAATTCAAACCAGAACAGAAGTGTGTTTTATGAGGAACGTTAATCTTTTGAGCAGCTTATCGAGAGACAAACGTGGCCTGCTGTGCTGGAGTGCCGCGGTGTTTGTGTTGGGAAGGTCGACGAATTGCCACAAGCTGAATGACGTCATCGCGCAGAATTACTGCGCAGTTCTTTCGGTCTGTGTCTAGTAGAACTGCCTAACCAGCCGCCGCCACGAGGACCGCTTCAACTGACACGACCATTTCTTATTATCCATATTAATGTTATCTTCTCATCGAGATATATTTATTCCCATGAGGTTTAGTCACCGATTTTATGTTTATCTTTCTTTACTTTCTTCATTCATGATGGACAACGCAAAAAAAAAAAAACGAACTCCGTGGCCTGTAGTCCGCAAGCGAACTATACCGTCCGAGCGAGAGCCGCTTTTCGGCGAAGTTAGTGCCAACTTTAGCTATTAGAGGGTGTCACGTGCTCAGCGCAGCGGATCCCCAAGGCCGTTAATCTCGATTGTCTAGACCGGAGCCGCTATTTCCTTGAAATAGCTCCTCAATTATCCTTCCGAGGCTGAGTGGACCCCGTTGCAGACCCACTACTTCTCAGAAAATCTGGTAGCAACAGGAATCAAACCCTTGTGAATACTAGAATGGTATCTACTTTCATATTTCCCACAAGCCTCTGATCTCGTATTTTTTGTCCAATATACATGAATCATCTTATTATATCCAACACTAAATATATTCTCTAACTTAAGTAACATGCGAAAGGCGAGCTCAGTTCAAATAACCGATGCTGCACCAGCTGCGTAATTCAGTGAAATCGGTAGAACTCACCAAGTCTCCTGTCGATCTCCTATCCTGTCCACTTAGAGTCCCTCGATTCGCGGCCAAGATATAGTCCGCAGATCCCGTACTGGCCCTTCTGCCACTTCCTGTGTGCACCAACTCGGCTCTGAAGCCAGTGTCACATGCGCCTGGGTCGTCACTTTCCAGCACCCCCATGAGGTAGCCGATGTACGAAGTGGCTAACCTCAATGTCTTTATTTTCGAAAGTTTCGTGTCAGCGGGAACATTAGGGATGCAATCCCGCAAGTCGGCGAACGCGTTGTTGATGCTCTGGGTCCTCTTGCGTTCCTTCTTGTTGGCGCAGTTGCGTCTCTTGACCACTCTCACAGGAACGCCGTTCCCTGTGGTGTAATACGTCGAAGTGGTACAGTACTCCTGGCTGGGGACTCCGTTGTCTGTTCTGCTACCGGGATAATGCGTTATGATGACCGGGGGGTGCCCATTTGTTGGGGGTGTGTTGGCGTCTTCAAGGGGGTTGAGTCCGTCTTGCTGGTGATGGTGGTGATGTAAATGATGGTGTTCGAATTCGTGCTGATTCAAGGGGTCATCGTCGTAACTGGGGGACTCATCCCCTCTTGACCCCGTCGGGGTTCCGGGACCTGAAGATGAACTGCTGCAGGGGGTTGTGTGGTGACTGGTGGACGAGTTGGCTGCAACGGACGGAGAGTTACCGACGCCCCAAAAACTGGCGTCCATACCCGGCGCGACGTTGCTGCCTGGAACACAGAGTAGAAGTCTGTGTACGTGGNGGGGGGGGGGCGAATAGAAACAAGAAGTACATATATGTACTTCTGTGCAGGAAGAATTATGTTTCACTGAGAAAACTTTCAAGATTGAATCCTCTTAGAAGTAACAGCTATATTTAATTAATTACACGTGTAAACATATACCGTAAAGATTTAATTCTTAAGCCTTACAAATCAAGTAATGGGATATATTAGGAATAAGCTTAGAAACAATTAACTTCCTTTGTCTGTAACCAGAGATGAAGCCTACAGTCTATTTTTTTTTTTAATTTCTTGGGGTGGGGTGGGACTAGTCCACTTGGTACAGCGGCCACTATTGGCCTATTGTACCAGCCCCGGATGATAGATGCTGGTGATTGTGGAGCAATTGGTGGAATGAAGATTGGCACGAGAAAACGAAGTACTGGGAGAAAAACTGCCCCAGTGCCACTGTGTCCACCACAAATCCCACACGACCGCCAGGCCGTCGCAGTGGGAACCCGGCGACTAACTGCCTGAGCTACTGCACGGCCCCGCCTCCAGTTTAAAGAGCCAAGAAGTGTGATGTATCAGAGTGGTGATTAGGCAGCGTTCTAACGTCTTGGGTATAAAGCCGTGTAGTCCGCTGAAAGTCAACCGACGTGTCGGAGGAAAGTATCGCCTCCATCTTCAGGGTCAAAGAATAAGCCAAGCAAGAAACCAGCGTGAAGCAAGTATTAAGGAGACCTTGGACCAACCGCCCGATTTCGGTATGGCCCAAGTTAAGCTTCTTTTCCGATGTTTAGTGAGTTTTTCATGTCTTTATTTATTTATTTATTTATTTATTTATTTATTTTTTGATTTTATTGCATTAACCTTGTTATTTCTTTCCTCGTCACGGCTTAGTAGCCTGTTCCTCCACGATTACTTCTGAACAATTTCTGTCAGTTTTCACAGCGTGGTTGGTCGAGGCACTATGATACAAGCCGGAGACCGCCGGTTCGATTCCCGACGTGGTCATTGGACTATGGTCCTGGGGTCGACTCAGCCTCTAACAGAAATGAGTACCAGGAATCTTCCTTGGGATAAAGGGCCGCCGGCGCGTAAGGCTGACAACCTTACCACCATCTGCGAGCCGATTGTCTAGAGAAAATGTGGGAGCCTCGACGTCTCACAAACCATTGGGCCTCCACGGCCTGTTATGGGGTTAGTTTCCTTTCATACTTGTCGCCTACTCACTATTGTTTACCTATTGGCTTACTCTTTGACTCTGATTGTGGAGTCAGTACCTTCCTCCGTTACGCCAGCAAACTACCAGACTACACGGCATTACATCCCACAAGACCGTACTTGGCAGAAAGTTAATGTAAGAACAGTTGTAATTTGTGATGCATTTTGATACTCTGAGATTTTAATTTCTAACGGCCATGTCAGCATGAAGGTGTTCTGGTATGTGACCTCCTGAGTTTCTGGTAAACAGATGCCATCATTTCAGACGATACTGTTGCTCTTCTACACTGAACAAGGAAGCTACAATTTCCTCCGAAACGTTGGTATCCATCTACCAAACATCACGTTGTTACATCGCAGCTACATACTGTTGTGTAAAGTTTAATTGTAACATGAGCAGGCGAAGTCTGCCAGTGGGATATTTGTGCTTCAAATCTATCCTACATACACGTATACCTGAAAAATAACCAACTTCGTTTTATGTCGAAGTAATTATGCTGTAGGCCGCGCCATAGCTCAAGCGGTTAGTCGCTGGTTTCCCACTCCGGCGGCCCGGGTTCGATTCCGGGTCTGGTCAAGTAGGATTTGTGGTGGACTAAGTGGCGCTGAGGCAGCATTTCTTCGAATACTTCTGTTTCCCTTGCCACTATTCATTCCACCAATTGCTCCACAGTCACCCTCACCTATCATCTGGGGCTGGTACAATAGGCCAGAAATGACCGCAGTACAAAGGACTTAGTCCCACTCCACTAGCAATAAAAAAAAATGGGGCTGTAGCTGCAATAATATGGATTCTGAAATTTCATCCTGAAAGCGACGAAAAATTTTATCTAGATAGATAGAATTTTAGTAATATATAAATAACTTCTTTAAAGCACATGAAGATGGCGACGAAGCTTCATTTATCCATTTAATATTAAGACTAATGTGTAGTTTTAACTATATTTGAACCACATTATAAAATTAAGATATAATTGTCAGTATAGAATAATCACACTGACAAAATATTATTTCATATTCATTAATGACGCAATTCAGAAGCTGTATTTATATTCGTGTACACCTGAGGATGACAAAAGAAAGGGGTCGAAACACATTAGCGTTGCCACCAACAACGAATAAAAACAAGTGTTGATACAGCAGTGTCCGTTTTATTTCTTTTTGGTTATTTGTTGTGCGAGCGACCCCCCCCCATATTCGTAGCATTTTTGCTGGAGGGCGGACTTTACTAAGTCGAGTCCCATCCTTCAAGCCTGCCAATACAAGTATTTCCGCAGCTCGTTGCAAAGATGCGACAGAATTACGTTGATCACCGCCCCCGTTGTGTACACGCAAGTAGAGACACGGGCAGTTATTTCTCGAAAGCGGGGCAACTTCAAGGATTCCTAATCCCTGTCTCAGCCACATGACAAATTATAACCAAGTCAAAGTCAAAGTCAAAGTCACATTGCGACTGACGGTCAGTCAGTCAGTAAGTCTTGGTGTCGAGTCCCATCTGGGGCTCATGACCAGATATTTATTACTATTTGACAGTTACGGTCTTGTTCTTGTGGGGTGCCCTCTCTGACGAGAAGACGGGTATGTCTTTTGTATTTGCTGCTGGCCCTTGCCAGCACGGTTTCTCTCGGGTCCGAGTCCCTTGGGACTCGCGACCATATTTTACTGTCTCAGATTTGAGACTTCCCTTTTCGTCGCCTCCTGCAACTCCCACGGTCACGGTTGAGGTATTCGACCCCGCCAAATTCGACTCGACAAATTACAACCATAAAACCTTAAGTAGTTATATCTTTACTATAGGATTCTGACGATGGTGTATAACACACTGATATGTTGGGTTTTTGGACTTTATCCATCGTCCTGGTTTTTTTAAGATAACAAATAAAAACACGACGTTTCGGAAACTGGATCTGTTTCCGTCCTCAGGTGAAGGAAAACACCTATTCAGTTGGGTCCGTTAGAAAGAGCTAGCCTCAATCACTGGACCAATCAATCCATTCTACAATGTGCATTGTTTACTTCAGGGATGAAAGCAAACAATTGAATGGCTTGGTGCTGCTGCTTAATCACCATCTCCAAAGCGGTTTTACCTTCGAGAATGTGAATATTTTGTTCTTAAGGGTGGACAGAGGGGCGCGAGGGAGGGACGGTGAGCCACGTTCAGTCCGCTTGTTGCAAGGCAGGCCTAGATCTGTTTCACTATTCATCACACGTCGCACTAATTTCACTCAAAGGAGCTCCGGTGATGCAATAAGAACAAAATTTTCACACATCGACGGAAGACGGGCGCAAAACTTGGCCCTTCCCCTGGCAAAGAACTTCCGGTTTAGGCTAGTGTCTCGTTCAGCGGCAGTTACACCCGCACGAGAGTCCGGCACAGCACAGCGTGAATATCACGGACATTTCAGATTCTAAGATTGAAGGTAGCCGGTCACGGTAGCTGAGCGGTCTAAGGCATGTACTGTTTCGCTCGCTCGGAAGCCGGGATCGTGGGTTCGGATCTGTTTCCTATGAGGTACGAATTGAATTCTTATATATTATTCTTATACACTGCCGGTTACGGTAGCTGAGCGGTCTAAGGCATATACTGCCTTCGCTCGCTCGGAAGCCGGGATAGTGGGTTCGAATCCAACTCAGGGCATGGATATTTGGTATGTGTATGCGTTTATTCTGTGTTTGTGTTGTCCTGTGTTTAGGTAGAGGCCTTGCGACGGGCCGATCACTCGGCCAGGGAGTCCTACCGTCTGTAAAATGATCAAAATGAAAGAAAAAAACCCTTGTCACAGTAAAACATATAAGAGGAACTGATTAAGTAAGTATTTTTTTTTATTGCTAGTGGCGTGGTACTAAGTCCCTTGTACTGCGGCCACTTCTGGCTTATTGTACAAGCCCCAGATGATAGGTGATGGTGATTGTGGAGCAGTTGGTGGAATGAAGATTGACAGGGGAAACCGAAGTACTCGGAGAAAACCTGCCCCAGCGCCACTTTGTCCACCACAAATCCAACTCGACCAGACCCGGGATGGAACCCGGGCCGCCGCGATGGCAAGCCAGCGACTAACCGCTTGAGCTATGGCGCGGCCCTAATTAAGTAAGTAAGTAAAATTCAAGGTAGCTCAATCAACATAGTGACTAGCTATAGGATGGGCGATACGAGTTCGAGTCCCGGCAGTATCAGCAGTTGCAACAAATAACTTAGTTTAAGCGATAATGCCTCTGGCTTTTATTCGGAATGTACCCGGTTCGAGTCACCTTGGTCACCGGTTATTCTGACTGAAGTAGGATTTGAAGTTCTCACAGCCGTGCGTGTGAAGGTTCATATCTTCTGGGATATACCGCCGTGTAGTCTGCTTGAAAGTCAGTCGAAATTTCGGAGGAACATATCGCCTCATTCTTTAGGGTTTTAAAGTATTCATTATATCCCAGAAGATAGGTATCTTCTGACAGGATTTTCTTGGTTTTACTAAGTTCCTTTAAGCAATTATCTGATACTGTGGGATTGTAAGTCCAGGTCCGAATTGTGGCCACTGGCAGAACACCACAAACAAATATGCAATAAATAGTTCTCTAGCGATCAGATGGGTCAGTGTGATGTTGGTGTGTTAGGTCCCTATCCCCGTCATGAACGGTCGATGTTATTAAAGCTTAATACCACATGCAGATCTATCTCAGGTTTGCATGTATTGTTTTCCCAAAAATTGTTCGGAAATCGAAAAGTCTTTGGTCAGATTCATTATTACATGGGGAAGCATGAGTTTAAGTCCCTTCAGCGCAAGGCTCAGATCCATTTTTCAGTACTTTTAACTCCTAACACGATATAATTGTTTTGCTTTTATCATAAAATGGATAAAGTGATATCACGTTCCGTAATAATAAACGCTTGAACTCTGACGGTACAAGAAAAGGTAAAGTTATCCTTGTAACAGGCCGTGGAGGCCCATAGGCTTGTGAGATGTCGAGGCTCCCACATTTTCTCTAGATAATCGGCTCACAGATGGCAGTGAGGTTGTCAGCCTTACGCACCGGCCGCCCTTTACCCCCAAGAATATTCCTGGTACTCATTTCTGATCGAGGCGGAGTCGACCCAGGGTCACAGTACGGCTGAAAGGATTTAGTCAATTGAAACATCCAACGACATCGCGAATCAAACCCGCGTACTTCCGGATAGTGTCTCAACCAACTACGTTCTCGCGTGCCCCTCCCTCAGAACTCTTACGATAATTATTTTATTACTATTTATTATATAAAGAAGGATTGCAAATTTGCATGTGAGGCATCTGTCACGTAACAACAACAGATCAATGTTTATATCCTGAAGGTGTATTTAGAAATCATTCTAATAACATTCAGTGCTGCTACACAAAATGGCAGTAAGGAATTACAGTGCAATACACTAAAATGACGTCAGAATACTAGCACTCACCTTGGTGCTGGTGCAAGTGGTGAAGATAGTGATGATGATGTGGGGTCTGATGGTGATAAAATGCAGCTGCTGCCGCAGCCTGGTGGTGGTAGAACGAATCTTGACTGTGCAATGAGACTGGGTGGTGTAGTGATGTTGGATGATGTTGTCCGGATGTTGCAGGCGCCGTTGTGCCGTTGTAACCCCCTAACACACTCATCCTGGTCAACAGCAAAGTCCCTCTCCTCTCGGAGCCACCGACACTTCCTGCCTGTACTTCGGTGCCGCTTAGGGAAACGTAGCTTATGTTGAAATGTATTGAATGTCTCTTCCTCTCAGTATTGTTTTAAAGTAACTTAAGTTAGATTTAAGATAACTTAAAGTGAGTGTGCTTTATTCTCTTCGGAAGAATTTGAGCCGTTATCATCAGTCCAGAAGTAATGAAATAGAGTAGGAATTTCCTCAGGAATTTTTTAACGTCTGTTTTATTTATACAAATACATTTGTCCGCAGGATTTGAGATTCAAGCCGTTTCAATATAGACTAAAGTAAAAATTTTTGTTATTAATTTTAGAGATTCGTGTGGCATTTAACTCAATTTCGCGAACCTTACTAATTACGAACAAACAGGCCCTTCCAAATTTTTCATCAGTTGTCAAGACACTCGGCTATAGCTCCCAAAGGCATCGCACTTGTGTGCACTCACTGAGGCTTGTATGTTTGTCACTTAACCGTGTTCTGCTACACAAACGCACCCACTCACCACAACCACCACATCCAGCCAGTTAACTCCAACTGTCCTCGTCAAAACCTAACAATATCTCAAAAGTCCCTCTCTCTTCACTGCCACCGCCAGAAACTTGTTTAGGGCACTCCCTCAAAAACATTTCCGCCCCAGATTTTCTGCAAATGTTTCATAAAACCCCTCGTAATGACGTCATAATTCTTGTTTTACACCCTCCCACGAAATATAAATGAGCAGAGGGTACCGTGAGGGTGGATCCTCTTTCTCGTTCTGATATGGGAGCACATAAACCACTCCCCTTCAGTCTAATCACTTTCTCCCCCTGCCCTTCCACTTTATAACCTCCCCACTGTGGTCCAGAGTGCCACAATGGTTGCCGAAACCATTAGACCTCATAGACGAGATTAAGTCCCACCCACGGAACTGCAGTGCGCAGGTCAGCATGGGTTGGGTGCCGCGCTCCGCCCTACCCGGAAGACACGCCCCTCTCATATAGAAGACGGGTGTTTTTTTAGACTGTAAGGCTGGAATTCAAGAATGATACAAAAAATAAGTTGTTTAACTTGAGTCTGGCATGTTAATTGACGTTTACTTCTGTTAATGGGATTTATCTTGGCTGTCCTGTGACGCGAAATTGTAGTAATCGGGCTCCCATGTCGCAGTTGCCTTACTGCGCATTCATGGCAAGACTGGCTGGATGACAGATGAACGATGAATTAAAAATATTTAGAAGGAAGCGGCCATTGCCTATTCAAAATAATATGTCGGAATTTTCCCAGAGGGGCCGAGGAAAACCACGGAAAACTTCACTTACAATAGCCGGTGTCCCAGCCTAGATTCGATCCGGGACCTTCCCGAGGACGAGTTGAGACCTTTTGCATATACATCAACCCGCTCAGTAGCCGGGCCCACGTTCTCAGATATGAATGCACTTAATGACAATGCAGCTGATCCCCAATCCAAAGACTTATGCCACGTGTTGGAAGGATTCCCCGCCATCGGGTTAATATCGAAGCGACACGGGTCTGTGAAAGAGGAAGAAGGCTGACAGGTGTCTCAGTTCTGCTGAAAATTGAGGAAACACTATGCTACTGACTTCTCCTGCGTTGATTTCCTACAGAAATATATCGGTGCCTGGTTCGGATCTCGACTGGTTTGTTCGGTGGCTTTCATCAGCTCTTCTACGAAAATTCCGGGATTGTAGGCCAACTTTAAATTAGGCTGCGAACGTTTCTTTCTAAATCCTTTCCAATTTGTTATTCGCTATTTTCTAATCATGCGGCTCTGCATGCTCCAATTTGACAGCGTTGTTAAATCAACGACACAGTGTTAGTAATAATAATAATAATAATAATAATAATACAATAATAATAGTACTGTATCGGGCTTCAGCTATGTTTCTCAATTCCACCACTTTCACCCGTTAAGCTGTTAAGGCACCACCCGCTGCTCTTTCCATGTTCTGGCCGCTCTGATGGGAAAACCGAGAACTTTCACCCCTGATTGGACGGATCTCAGAAAGTACAGAGTTTGGGCCCATTTCAGAGCGTGATGCAGAGACGAGAGGAAAATATTAAAATGTACTTTGTGTCAATAGAGTTTTATGAAGCCGATCACAGTGGCCGCGCGGTCTAAGGCGTGAACTGTCTTCGATCTCTCGATCCCTAGGATCGTGGGTTTGATTCCCACGTGAGACATGAATGTCTGTATGCATTTATTCTGTGTTTATGTTGTTCTGTATAGGTAGCGGCCTTGTGATGGGCTGATCCCCGTCCAAGGAGTCTTACCGACTGTGTAATAGATTAGGAAATTGAAAAAGCGGCCAAGGCCTAACAAAGAGTTCTAAAGCCATAGATAGATATATTGGTAGATAGATAGATACATTTTTATAAATCAGATTGGATTGAACTGGCACAGAATGGAACATATAGTCGGGATTTGGCGCAGGAGTATTCGCATTTCCAGTTCGTAATAAATCAGTTTTTATCACTCTCTCTCCCACTTTGGAGCATAGGGCTGATTTCTCAGTTTCATGATTATTTTACAGACGGTAGGACTCCTTGGACGGGTGATCAGCCCGTCGCAAGGCCTCTACCTAAGTACAGGATAACACAAACACAGTAACATATACACACCAAACATCCATGTCTTGATTGGGATTCGAACCCACGATCCCTGCTTCCGATCGAGTGAAGACATTGCATGCCTTAGACCACTCGGCTACCGTGACCGGCAGTGTATAAGAATAATATATAAGAATTCAGTTCGTACCTCACAGGAAACAGATCCGAACACACGATCCCGGCTTCCGATTGAGCGAAGACAGTGCATGCCTTAGACTGCTCGGCTACCGTGACCGGGTAATTTGAGTGTTACTGCGTTTAGAAGTTTTAAGTAAGTTACTATACGCCTACTGCATGTTGACACGGAGGGGTCACTCCATGTGAAATCTTCCAGAGAGGTCGCTCACCATTTTTAAAAAAATTCAAAATTTGTACACTTATTTCTACATATTTTCACACCTCAAAAAAATGTTAAAAAAATTGTGATCCGATCGGTTCTCCCTGTACAGCCGTTTTTATAATGTGAAAAAACGCGTTTTGCGTTATCTTCTGTATCTCGATAACTATTGAAGCTAGAGACTCCAATGAAAAATCAATTTGTTCCTCATGATATGGACAATAAATCATATTATTACAAGATTTTACTCAACTCACTTTCTATAGATGTAATTAAGCTTGAAACTTACCTATCGATTTTGGGAAAAACGCTATTTTTGACCTTCAGAAACCAATGGGAGGGGGAAAGTATCAGACCTATGATTTCTACCCTTTGTTTCCTCCTACATGAGGAATATAATCACATAGTTTTGAACACCGTACCTATTTTCCAAAATTTTCCAGGAGCTTCCAAACTTTGCTCTGGGTCCCAAATCGGCCATTTTTAACGTCTCATATCTCCGGTGGGGAAGCTAAGAAAAATTTTAAACTCATAGCAAATAATTCTCTATTCCAGAGTAACATGGAGTTAAAATTAAAACTTTGATATTCAACTAATAGCGAAGTTTCTATAATGCGAAAAACGCGTTTTCGCTTGAAATGGAGGTTTGCGTTATCTCCCATATCTCGATAACTATTGAAGCTATAGACTCTAATAAGGAACCATATTGTTCCTCATTATATGGACTATAAATCATATCATTACAAGGTTTCACTCAACTCACTTTCTCTAGGTCTAATTAAGCTCGAAACTTACCTATCGATTTTGGGAAAAAACGCTATTTTTCACCTTCAAATACCAATTGGAGGGGTAAAGTATCAGATCTGTGGTTTCTACCCGTTGTTTTCTCCTACATGAAGAATATAATCACATAGTTTTGAACACCATACCTATTTTCTAAAATTTTCCAGGAGCTTCCAAACTTTGCTCTGGGCCCCAAATCGGCAATTTTTAACATCTCATATCTCCGTTGGAGAAGGTCCGAAAATTTTGAAATTCATAGCAATTAGTGCACTATTCTAGAGAAACTTGAAGTTAAAATTACAACTTTTATATTCAACTACTAGCGAAGTTGTGGGCACTTAGATGATGTGGATGATTTCACATGGAATGACCCGGAGAGGAAAACCGTGTCCTATGGTAGTTCTGCTTGTGTTCACATAAAAGGACTCATGCCAATCAAGATAGTGTAATTGATACTCTAACTTATGTTCATGTGCAAATTATTCACTTGAAAAAGCTACATCTCGTAGGAAGTCAACCAGGATGAAGAGGCTGAACCCAATGAAGCTATTGTCCTATCTCCAGTAGTATTCTGTGAGAAGTAAGGGAGTCCGGAGATCTCGTGCAGAACACAAAATTAACCAGTAGATTCTAAGCGGTGTATAACACCCGGGACTACTGGATTTTCGGACTTTGTCCATGGTCAGGTATTCTAAAACACACAACGTTCGGAAACTGGATCTGTTTGCGTCCTCAGGTGAGGGAGTTGGAAACACATGTTCTGTTTGTTCCATTAACAAAGAGCTAAGAGGTTCGGTGATTGAGATTAGCGAACCCAACAGAGAACGTCACTCCACCGCCTCACCTGAGAATGTAATCAGATCCAGTTTCCCAAACGTTGTGCCCTTTAGTGTTCTTCAGGATACCGGACGATGGGAAAAGTCCAAAAGCTCGGCAATTCTGAGAAAATGTAAATATTGAAAAATTACATTTATGTAGAAAATGAATAAAATTTCGTTCCCACCTCACAGAAAATCTCTACTGATGTTATGGTGAAGGTAAAGTGGTCCCTGTGCTTAACTAATTAAGCACTTCCCCCTGAAGCTGTATTGGGAGTGGGTGTATAGATCCACATTATCCTGACCTCGACACTAGCTGAAGGTGAGTGGTGAGCTTCACGCCCCGGTCGCTTTACCACAGAAGAAAGATCCAACAGTACCCATTGGATAGGAGGCTGGGGGGGGGGTCCCAGATCCGGTTTGGACGACGTGGACAAGAGAAAATTCTTAACCCTACCGGGACTCGAACTCCGACCCCTCGGTCGTCCAGCCCGTAGCCAGTCGGTATGCCGACATCGCTAGCCAGGTCCCATACTCGTTATAAGACCAGCCGGTTAATGCTGTTTTGGGATATATTTGCTCCTTATTCTGAGAATCATACAGAAACGATAAGCACGTTCTTTGGGCAAGATTCGTTTATGGATTTCCAACAGTTGTCATCAGATACAGAGACAAGAATACGCAGTAAAATTCTTAATATCTTCGTTTGTTCCCAGTGAGGTTCAGGGCAGGATCGCGAGAGTGCCTACTGGCATGGGGCGGTAACGCTAGTCTGAGACTGATCAGTGTAGCAGACTCAGAAACTCGAACCAAAAACCTACTGATAGCAATACGATGTGTTACTCAGGCACCTGTCTGTCACGAGCCCGGCGCCCCATCACTCACATCACACTCAACATTTCACGGCCCACGGTTTTTGGAGCACCGCAGTCCGGATAAGAACGGCCCAACTCCGTTTGGCAGCTGACATCTCTACTGCTTTCTTCCTACTTGTCGAATTCCTGCCTGTACTTCTCAAAGCAAAAACAAAATATTGTCTATAATCGTCTTTAGTTGTGCAGATTTACACGATCAGTGACAGAACACAGCCATCTCTCTGGCTGGGAGACATTGAGTCTAGGTATGGAAGGTTCTTCTGTGTTGCCCTGTAGCACAGGTAAATAAATGGCATTCTACTAGTGAAAGTAGAAAGGTAAAATATCCATGTAATACGCCGTGAAGGCCCATACGGTT